ACCTGGGGATACATCCCATATACAGTCACCAAAAGCAGACACTATTATGGATGCCAAGAAGTGCATGCTGACAGGAGCCTGATATAGCTGCCTCCTGAGAGGCTCTGCTAAAGTCTGACAAATACAGAGGGAGATGCTCACAGCCAACCATTGGACTAAGCACGGGGTCCCCAATGGAGGAGTTAGAGAAAGGATTGAAGGAGCTGAAGGGGTTTGCAACCCCATAAGAAGAAAAGTATCAACCAACCAGTCCCCCCAGAGCACCCAGGGAGTAAGCCACCAAGCAAAAAGTACACATGGAGGGATCCATGGCTCCAGCCGCATATGTAGCAGAGGATGGCCTTGTCAGACATCAATGGGAGAAGAGGCCCTTGGTTCTGTGAAGGCTTGATGCCCCAGTGTAGGGGGATTCGAGGGTGGGGAGGCGGGATTGGATGGGTGGGTAGGGGAACACCCTCATAGAAGCAGGGGGAGGGAGATGGGAAAGGGGATAGCATTTGAAATGTAAATAAAAAATCTTCAATAAAAAAAAGAAATTAGGGCTGGAGAGATGGCTCAGCGGTTAAGAGCACTGACTGCTCTTCCAGAGGTCCTGAGTTCAAATCCCAGCAACCACATGGTGGCTCACAACCATCCGTAATGAGATTGGATGCCCTCGTCTGGTGTGTCTGAAGACAGCTACAGTATATTCATAAATAAAATAACTAAATAAATCTTTTAAAAAAAGAAATTAGATATGCTGAGAGCAAATATCAGACTTGCCCCAAGAACATCCTTAATCAGCAGGAAGTAATCTAATGATATTATTGCCCCCTTTATCCTTTTTTTTTTCTCCTACCTAGTGTTAGTGGGTTGAAAAGGAGGGAGAAAGAAGAACCACAAAGTATCCAAAGCCCGGCTACAACAGTAGGTTTGCATTAAAGCGTTCCTTGAGGTACTAGGTTACTGCCTCCTGATTAGAGTGAAGGTCACATAAATCTGTACGTGTTAAATCTTCAAATCAAAGCAAAACTGTTAATTTTTGTTTTTGTTCTTTTACTTAATAGTACAAATTTCTGATTAGAGTTTTTCATAAGCAATAACAGGAGAGAAGTCCTCAACCTGGCAAATAGTATTTATCAAAACACTACAACCTGAATCATGCTTAAAACAATTCTCATGAACTCTGGAACTCCACAACTGCCTGCTATCCTGTTCACTCTTGCTTTTCAGCCAGGGGCTAGAGGTTTCCGATGATGTAACCCCACATGGAGAACCAGAAAATTCCTGCCAGATTCAGCATGAAATCAGAGGATTTTTCTACATACATACACACAACAAACACATGAGCCACAGCCTCTGCCCTGAGGAATAGACAAAACCTCAGGAGGACCTCGAAAGAATGTAAAGAAACTACTTCTTTTATCTTGGGGGAAAGTGGACTTCTGAAGCTGTGAACTGAGTTTACTGCAATCATGACTGAAAGTCCAGGTATTCCTTTAAGCCATAAAGGGGATCTGATTCTAGAGATGAACTTAAGAGGGATGGGGCTGATGAAGGGAGTTTCTCCAGTAGGCACTCCCACTCCAGCCACTTCCCGGGCTTTCATACATGACAGCTGAGGAGGTTCCAACCCATGGTCAATGTTAGAACTTGTGAAACAGTGCACAATGGTGGGAACGTGTTGGAGCAGAGCTGCTCAACCTGGAAGCAACCAGAGTGGGAGAGGCTGGGCCCCACAATTCTCTCCAACTCTTATTATGTAGCCCAGGCTGTCCATAAACTCATTATCCTCCTACCTCAGTCTCCTGAGTGCTAGGATTATGGGTGTGCACCACCACACACGGCTCAGTTTTAAAAAAATATTTATGTGTAAGATTGTTTTACATGTATATATGTCTTTACACTGTGTGCACTCCTGCTGCTCATGATGGCCAAGAGCGAGATCCCCGAGACTGAAGTGACAAATGGTTGGTAGACACTATATGGATACCTTTAGAAGACAAGGTCTCATAATAAAGTCCAGGATGCCTCAAATTTACCATAGCCTTCCAGCTTCATTCCTTCCTTCATGGTTAACACAACAACACTGTTGTTCACATTTACAGCTACACACTGGCAAGATAATCGTTTCTAGAAGGAATTCGCCAGTTGCTAAAGATCAGTCTTCCTGACAATGGACTCCCAAATCCCTGTATTGGCCAAGCTGAAGAGTACGGTGTACAGTCTAAGTCTTTAGCCTTAAGAACCAGAATTAGATGAAGACCTTCATCTTGCAGATCAGTAATCTTTCTTAGGCCTTTATGGGAAGTGTGTGCCTCTGTTGTGTAGCAGTTTCCTCCAAGGTTAAAAACCTTCCATCTTGGAGGGAAACTTAAGACATGGGACTTAAAAGGGAAGTGACACAGCAGGATCTTTTAGGACAGGAAGTTTACAACATGAAACAGGATGTTGTAAGGAGAGTTGAATCATTCCATCCTGCACGTAAGCTCCTTTAAGCCAGGAAGTAAGCAACTCAAAATTGTTTCAGAAGTCCCTGAAACTGATCAGATTTGCTAGGCTCCCTCCTCCACAAGAATATTTAAACAGTAAAGACTGGTTTCTCAGATCAGCTTAACTTCACAGAAGAAGCAAAGACAAGATAAGCCTGAAAGAAGAGAGCAGCTGCTCTGTCTGGAAAAGGTTTAGACCAACAGAGCTGCTAGGAAAGAAAGGATCACACACCCAACTTTGTTGAGAGGCCTGCAGGTTGTTCAGTGTGCTCCAGGTTTCCAACCTTTATAAACTGCTACCCATGCTGCATGGGCTTTTGGTGAAGCAGCTGAGTAATTCTGGCTTCCTACAAATAATCCTTTATCCATATTCCTGTAAGTAACACCAATAAAACACTGGTTCATCAAGTTGGTCTTTGGTGATACCTTTGGTGGACTGTCACTGGCTCCTTATCTGGGGTAAATAGATGTTTGTAAATATTTTCCCAGAAATAGTGTCATGCAACAGCATGAAGAGCAATGCCTGTTTTCACTGCCTGTTGTGTGACCATGCCAACACACAAGACCACACGTGACTCTTGATGCCATGCAGGAAAGCACTGGAGAGACAGTGTCATGTATCATGGACTGGAGAGACAAGTGTCACCTACCATGGTAGAGGCGCCCTAGGCCTGCATCGATGTAGCTAGCAACTGCGGGGCCTTTGGAGGCTCAGATACCATTTCCCTGAAAAACTGTCTTGTGTTGTAGCTCTAGTGTCAAATAGAAATCTCATATCCTGATGCCCACTGATCTCACCTGGGAAGTGGATGGCTGCAACCAATTTGGTCCTGAAGACTTGTGTTTGCAACTGTGGTAGTTTGGATGAGAACGGACCCCACAGGTCCATGCATATATTTGAAGGCTTGTTCCATAGGTGGAGCTATTTAGAAAAAAATTACAAGGGGCCTTGTTGGAGGAGGTGTGTCCCTAGGGTGTCATTCCCAGTGAGTTCCCTCTGTGCTCATGGTTGCTATCTAAGCATGTAAGTTCGCTGCTACTGCTTTGGCACCATGCCTGCCAGCCTGCTACCATGCTCTCTGCCATGAGAGTCATGGGCTCCACTACCCTTTGAAACTGTGAGCCCCAAATTAAATCCTTTTATTCTGTAAGTTGTGTTGGTCACAGTATTTTGTCACAGTAACCGAAAAGTATCTGAGATATTTTCTCCCTGCTCACCTACAGTGCAGCTATTTCCTGACGTCGGCAATGTATAACGACAAAAACAAGAGAACACGTTAACTCCGGAGCTGAGGCAGGGGCTCAGCTGACAAACACACTTGTGCAAACATGAGGACCTGAATTCAAGTCCCCAGAACCCACATAAGCAGCCAGACGTGGATATGCATGTCTATAATTCCAGGAGTGAGGAGGGAGACAGGAGGATCACAAGAGCTCACTGGCCACTGTCAAGCTCCAGACTCTGTGACAGACTTGTCTCCAGAGTAAGGTACAGGGTGATAGAGTAGGACATTCAACATCTTCCTGTGGCACACACACACAACATACTGAAAACAGTCAGTTAAAGCCATAAAAACCTAATTTGGTCACTAACTTCTTGCACTCCAATTTTAGAAACTATAAGTCTTTAGAAGAAGTCATCAATCCTGCAGCCTACCGATGGGGACCAGCAGGCTCCTTGTCACCATCGTTGATGTCACACACAGCTTTGGACCGAAGAGCACTTCTTCTGGGAACATATAAATCACATGTTATTTCATTTCTGTTTCTGCCAAACTATGGTACCCCATGTTGGGTCAGGAGTGACATTTTAGAAGTGATGTATGTAACAGAGGAAGGGGCAGTAAACCCAGGGGCATACTAGACGAACAGATAACAAGCCTCTGTGCTCTTATATTACTGTGATTCAGTGAGCATGTCTTCCTGAGCAAGTGAGGCAAGACTCAACAGAGAGCATCTAGAGCAGTTCTCCACACCTGCAGAAGCCCCTTGGTATCCACGAGGTCAGATCTCCTGTAGATATCAGAATCTGAGGATACACAAGTCCCTTTGATAAAATAGCTTTTTTTTTTTTTAAAAGCACACCCTCCTGAATCCTTGAAACCATCTCTAGATGACTTACAGTAAATTATACACTGTGGCCAAGCATGGTGGCATACACCTTTAATTCCAGCACTTGGGAGGCAGAGTTAGGCATATCTCTGAGTTTGAGGCTCATCTTGTCTACAAAGCAAGTTCCAGGACAGCCAAGACTACACAGAGACCCAATCTCAAAAACCAAAACCAAACAAAACATAGCAAATGCTATATAAGCAAATGTTATACTATAGTTATGGAATAAGAACAGAATAAAAAAAATCTGTTTTTTTTTTAATTCTTTTGTTTGTTGTTTGCTTGGTCGGTTTTCTTGGGCACTTCCTACCCCTGGATGGCTGAGCCTGGAAGATAGAGAGGGCTGATCATGTCTGTAACAGAGTATCTGTCAAACTCTTACAAATACTTCAGGTAAAACATTGCCAGACTGGGAGATTTTAGTTAAGTTTTTCTTCTGCTTTTATTACAAGCATATAATATTAATTGGCAAAACACCGAATACAAGCTCCACTATCATAAAATCAAAACATTAAGCAATATTCCAAAAGAGATGTTAGACAAAAGCTAGCCACTGATGGTACAAAAATTACACACTAACGCAATCATAAAAAATGTAAACTTTCAAATTAAACAGTCAAAACCTCTGTATCTGCACCATTTCGTACACTGTGACAGTTGCTAGTGTGGCTGTACTCCAACGAGAGTACTCAGGTGGTGCTGCTATCCGTAACCTGATGCTACTTTCACTTGGGAAAACTGTGTCTGGCACAAGTTGAGAGCTGGAAGTCAATGGTGAGTGTGAGTCACTGAGTCACTGCTGAAGTGACATACACACCGCACAGGCAGACTTCACTTCTTTCTCCAAATGTGCTCTTGGATGGGAGTAAATGACAAGAGGAACACTGAGTGTGAGACCACAGCCCACACAGCTACCCCTGACGGGAGCCTGAAAGGTCTAATCCCTGCCTGTAGGAGTGCAGGGTGTGCAGACTGTGGTGCAATAAGTGACTTCCTAATCTACACATCTCAGGTTATTTACTTGGTGTATTTAATATCAAGGCAGAGAAAACTTTTGTTTTCATGTTAAGGTCACATGTGATGTGTTGGGGCTTAAATGATTTCCTGAGGAAACAGACACGTGTGTGTGTGTGTGTGTGTGTGTGTGTGTGTGTGTGTGTGTAAGGGGATTTCACTATCTGCACTCAAGTTATTTTCAATGTTTTAGGAACATATTTAATATCCATATACAAAGTAGAACTCAGTTGGCTCATTCCTGGAACATTTAATCTAATGATACATTTCAGAGCACTGTGATACACCACCCTGTACGCCCTTAGAAACAAAACACACCAACCGCCAAAGACTCTGATGGCCATGGCAGGCATCAGGAGCCATAGGCCAGTGGAGGGCAGCACTACCAGGTGGAGACAGTGAAACCCCAGCCCCCAGGGTGGCTCAGTCACAGACTTAGCTCAAGGACTTGGGTGCACCCACATAGAATGCAGGCCTAAGATGGTGCTAACCTCATCACCTCCTGCCTGGCTGCTTATCTTTTAATATTGATAGAAAGTACACACACACACACATACACACACACACATACAAACACACACACACGCACGCACGCACGCACGCACATAATCCCGGTAACAGAATTCTTATAACAGTGAAAAAGGCAAAACCAAATAGCTGAATGCACAGATTTTGAAATTCCACCTATATTCCCTTTCAATTTAGTAGATGCTAGATCACAATTTAAGCACTAATAAACGCATGTTGGAACCTATTGCACAAAAGCATAAAAATGCTCTTCATCCCTATAAAAACATACAAACCAAAGACTACAAAGAGTAAAAGAAGCTTGCAAAACATCTCACAATTTTATCTTATATGCCTGTAAATAAAGCTGGACCACGGAAACCAAACAATTGGATGGGAAAATATGATAGAAGGCTTAAAATAGAATAAATAATTTTATAAAGTTAAGCTTTCTTTTTTAACCCCCCAAATCTTAAATTCAATATTATATATTCTATCTGAGTTTTCTATTTTTGTGAAAATGACATTGAGCGAGACCACGTGCTGGGAGGCTGGTCCCAGAGCTGCCGGCCGGACGCACCGATTTCTAGCATCGGCAGCTATGAAAACAACTTCGCAGGAGCTCCGCCTGCTGAGAAAGCGTGACAGGACCAATCGCTAACTGATCCTACTGTTCATGCTGGAAAAATAAAATTCGGCCTTGGATGTCACGTCGAGCTTGGCAGGAGCAAAACAAGGCGCCCAGAAGCTTCCATCTGACGCAAGCTCACTCTGCTTCATCTCTGAGCGAGGTAAGGCTACAGGTCAGACCAAAGGGCAGAAGGGCATCAGAAAACAGTCTGCAGTGCAGACAGGCGGATGATGGAATCTTAGAAAAATAGGTATTTTGCTGCTGAGGTTTAACAGGTTACCGTGGTGACAGAAGCAGGGCTGTTGGGGCGGTGGCGCCCAGCTAGGACATCAGTTGCAATGTCCACCTTGCTGAATACTTAGATCTATCAACTTAGCACCATAGCAAAGTCAAGTGATTCTAAAAGTAGCTACAAAGTTACAAATATATATCATGAGATTATACAGCCATACTAAGTTTGATCTGAACTGTAAATTAACTTTACGTGAATTTGGAGGCTTCTAACTTTAATGTCACCACATGGGAAAATACCTAAATTCTAATGTAACTGCATTGTGAGAACACGGTCTTGCGCTTCAGCAGCACTTGTGTTCTGAGGTAGAAAGGTAATATTTACGCATAAAACCCTTGTATAGTAACTCTATAAATGATTTGAATGAATAGCAAACTCAGGAAACTGAATAATCCAAACTGGCTTACATAGAGAAGTGAATTTTCATTAATTTGAAACAAAGAGCTTGCTTTTATTTTAGAAGGTCAGACATTAAAGACTGAGTTAAAATAGATGTTGTTCCTTACTTACCAACATTAAATCTCACTAATCGCTGCTTCTGGCTCTGTGTATGTGAAAGAGGAAGTAGAAAAAAAAGTGGGTGTTGATAAACCCAATCCCAACTGTCAAAGCAAATCCAAGAAAAAGATTCCAGTTGCTAAGGTGAAGGACTCAGAAAGCCTGACCCTCAGGGATCCATGAAGATCCTCACATCCTCACACCAAGAGCAGAGGTACTGCTGGGGTTAGAGGGCCCTACAGTTCCCACTGGGCCTGGAAGGGCGGGAGGTGGGAAAAGTAAGAGGGCACCCAGACTGAGAGGTCCCTGGGACTGCGGGACAGGACCCATTCTCCTTCCTCTTGCCTTCATATCCCTGAAGATGGAATAAAGTTGGATACGCTAGTATCTTATCCACTCTCTAACCTAACAAAACAATAAATTGTATGTGAGAAAGGTGTGTGTGTTAACAAATAATATCCTCTCTCTGACTGAAAAGCAACTTCTGCTGAAGCGAGTTGTTTCCTCAAGTGAGCAGTTTGCTCAGTTTACCTTTCATGAAAAAGACCCGAAGAACGCATGTTAACCCCATGATCAGGAAGCAAGCCTGGAAACACCAACTCCCAGGAACATGGAGGCTAGAGGCTACCTCCTAAGTGTCTTTACAAAGTCCCTACCGGATGGCTTGTGATGGTTGATAAGTGACAAACACAGCCACCACTGTGCATTTTTCCAGCAGAAGGAAAACAGAATGGAAAAGGTGGGAGCTTCAGCTTTCCAAGGAAAACTGTCTTTCCCAGAACTTTTCAACAAGCCAGCGCTGTGCTGCACTGGCCACAACCTCTAGTTTGCCTTACTCGGGGTGCCGGATTACAGTCACATGACACTGGGGAATGATGGAAGGGTTCTTGCCTTGCCCAGCCAACACAGACCATCCCAAGATGCACAGTACAAGACTCAATCTTGGGAGTGGGCTTCTGTTGTACACTAGAAGGTGGGAAATTAAACACCATGGCTAAATCATAGCATTGCTGCAAGCCTCTTTGGGTATACTTTAAATTAAAATTTTATATATCTCTTAAGTCTTCAGGAAGCTAAAGGCAACATAAATATTTACCATGAAAAGACTTTCAATAACTTACAAAGGACTTAATAACAGTACGAGTATTTTTGAGGCTATCATGAAACCTAATCCATGAACAAAACTGAAATGGACTCAAGATTCTCAAGACCTGGAAAGCAAGCAGCGGGGCTGTGAGTCAGACGTGGGTGGGAACGTGCTGATGGTTCTCTTCTCTGGCCTGTGGACCGGAAGCAGAGTCGAGCGCACTGCGAAGTGTTTGCATCCTCTGTAAACGCGTGCTGGTAGTGTCTTGTTGGGAGTGGATTCTCTCATACAAAAGTTATAAATATTCTCTATTCAGAAACCTGGTCCACATGGCACCCGAGGCAACATTCCACAGCACATTTGCCATGGAGAGTGCTGGATGTGGGCTGAGTCTGGCTGGGCTTACAGCAAGTCCATCTTGGGTCTGTAGTGTAGCAGGAGGGGTGCCTTCTGCAAGACAAAAGCAAAGGTGGCTGAGGGAGGTACAGGGGCCTGTACTACATACTCAAATCACAGGCACACAACTGTACCAGTAATGCCACAACTGAATTTAGTTTTGGATGACAAGGAGTAATTGTCATTGGTCCCAGGTGACCCAGTGGTCGCCGTGTGGTGTTTGCGGCTCATGAGGGGGCCTATGCAGCCAGAACCTGAACTTGTTCCTCCTGCCTACTACACTAGCTGTGGTCTCTCCTATGCAGTCTCTTACACTTCCAACCCTTGCCCTGATCAGCACCAACTATTGGCCATCCTGCTCTCTGGTTTGCTCCACTGACTCTGTCCCCTTTTTTCTGGGCAACAATATGGCTAGACGTAGAAGAGCTGTATTCCAGGCCTGGACAAGGACTGCAACACCAGTTTCCTGACACAGAAAGATACCCCAAAGTTAGAGAGTTTGTTCCAACTATCACATCTGACCCCTGGATTTAGGGGACTGAGTGGAGTGGTGATAAAGACCCTGGCTGGGTAGACGGATCCAGAAAGACAGTTGTTCTACAGCAATGTCAGCAAATAAAAGACATGCACCGCAAGTAAGGATAAAGAGTCTATCTAAAAATGTGGCATTCAAAAGAACCAACCAGCCTCACCTTGAATCTCCACCTAGTAACAACCACAAACTTGAGAGTGTGGTCCTTGCCCAGGATCTCCTCGTTGCATAAAATGTCCAGCTGGTGGGAGAAGAGGCTTCAATTAGGTGCACGTTCAACCTACCCTTAAACTGAGGCTAATAGCAACAATACAAACAGTACTCTGAAACAAGCCCCTCCCCAGTTATGTGGGAACATAGGTTGTCTGCTTATTCATTACCTGCATCATCCAGCTGCAAGCACATATTATAACAGAAAAGGAGCATTTCTGTTAAACCCAAACTTCTTCAGGGGTCAAAGACAGTAGTATACTTCATAGCTGTGTTGCATTGGTTTGGAGAGACTTAGCCTGCTTGCTCAGGGCATCAATGATACCTGCCCAGTTCCTACCCCGGCTCTGGGCTTCTCTGATGAAGTTCCGGAGACATTATGTGTGGACCCCTCCCTGGATCCCCACTTCAAGTCATTGTCCTCCCTCTAAGTGGTAATGAAATGTAAGTCTGTATGTTCATCCACTGATCCTTGAAGGCCTAACCATCACCGTCATCAGCAATCTGGCAAGTCACACAGTGACTCCACTGGTCTTATTATCTCCTAGGCAGGGGACAAACGCTGTTTGCACAGCCACTTAAGAGTGTTTCTTGTTGAGAGACTGGTGAGTAGAAAACCAGCCTTTGGGTCCATGAAAGCTCAACTGTCTGCTGTCATCTTTACCAAGTGGCGTTTACTTTGTGATACACAGGCTGCTTATAAGCATGATGCCCTCCCCCTACAGCAGCTCTTGTGACTGGCCCTTAATTCATTGTCTGACAATGCTCACCACTTCACACAGCATTAGGGACTACAGAGCTCAGAGAGCAGTGTGAGATCCACATGCGACATGCATGAACCAAGGGCCAGTTGCAATGAAAACGCCACATTTCTTGTTGGTCCCCATGGAGAATGTTCCTGTGTGTGGAAGACAGCCTCCCCTTGATCTTCCTGATGTCTCTAGCTCTACACAGTACTTAGAAGCCGCTTCAAGTCAACGCCTTTACCTTCACAGAATCCAAAGCTTCTGTGACCTTCTTCCCATCTCCCGTTCTACCTTATTTTCCAAACAAACAAAACTTAGACTTGCCTTTTCCTATGGGCTCCTGGTAGCTAGTATAAAGTCATGTCTTTATTCTGTGTCTTCCACCTCCTCCCACCCACTCGTGTGGTTGGCTCAGAGCTGAGCGTGGGCTCCTTTACAGTCCAAAACCCTGGTCCTGGGCCTGAGACACAGCTCTGAGAGAGCCCTGGTCCTG